CTAACCCTGGGCCTGCTCACAGCTCCTGATGCTAACCCTGGGCCTGCAACTCTAGACAAGATGGCATCTATTGATGAGTCTTTATCATCTTCAGCTTCCAAAATAAACCTTTTTCTCTGCTCTGGCAACCTGCCTTTACTTAAGTGATAAGAAATGAATTTTGTTTCATGGTTACATTTTTTAGTATAGTGGAAGGTAGCTAGATACTAAGCCATTAAAATAGACCATGAACAGGGGATTAATTTTAACAGCATGCATTATAGCACCCTTTTATCTTCTCCTTTTTTTCCAATTATTTTTATTTTCTCTATTTTTTGTAGCTGTAGCTACCTTCCCCTTAAAGCAAACAGCAGAAAAACTTTTGGAGGGTGCAGATTGGGAAAGTCAGTCCAACAGCACTGTTCCCAGCCGTCTCATGCTACAGGCTGGAAATTTGATGAGAGAGAGAGAGGGGGGGGGGGAATCGAGGTGGGGGGGAGGGAGGGAGAGAGGGAGGAGTTCACTTTATGCTTCTTTTCCAAAAATGGCTGATAATATTAATCAGCATGCCAGTGACTCAAATAAGCCCTCAGGGTAGTAAAGGAAGCTCGAAATCAAAGAGTATAATTAGGAAGGTAAAAAGAAAAATTATATAACTACAGCAGAACAATGGAAAGATGTGTAAGACAATATAATACGTACAGTACATGTGGCACGGTGTAAAACTAGAGAGGGAATATAAAACTGTAAGAATTTCTTCAGTACAGGCTAAATGCAGCAGTCCTCAGCCTTCCTAACGCTGTAACCCTTTAATACAGTGCCTCATGTTGTGGTGACCAGAGCCATAAAGTTATTTTCATTGCTACTGAGATTCATCCTATACTACAATGATCAACTGTAGTGACTGGTTTGAACACGGGGAATCTCTTTAATGCATTTTAGTTGCATGCTCTCTGTGTCCCACAAGTGCCTCAACCCCGGAACTAATTGGTGATTTTGAAGCTCTTGGGGCTACAGGCTTTTTGAAAACTAGGGAAACACTTTGATTACTGTTCCTGACTAGGGTAATAGAAGGTGTTGTAATCAAGAGGAACTACTTCTCCCGGTCTCTTACATAATCTAGCTCCTTGGAAGACAAGAAAATAATATTCAGGAGACATAAATGGAATTACAGACTCCAAGAAAACCTAAGGGGTTACATAATAAGAAGTGGTCAGAACAGAACAAAAAGAAAAAAGGATGTGAGGGAAGAAATGAGAAGAAGGTAAGGGATCATCACCCATCCACTCAGCAATGTAAACTGTATTAAAAACAGTCTGAAAGGTTCCCCCTGTACCCTCCCTAATCCCTGAAACTTTCCTTTCTTTTCAACTCAATATTTTCTTTCAGTCTTCTACTCCTAGGGGAACACTGAGTTGCAACCCCAGCATATTGAGTACAGGTCCAGTAAGAAATGGTGTGATAATATTTACATTTATAGGGTGAGGTGTCATTTTGACATTCCCATCCCTCTTTAACAGTCACTGCGAAGTTTATAAGGGCTGTAGTCTGGAAGAAATGGAATCAAATGACAAAAGTCAAAAACAAAAGTACTTGGGCACCAGCCTGAATGTATTCCCATGGGTAAGGAAATTATGAAAGAGAACGGATGAACGATGCTAAATCTGTGCTGACCAAGGACTCTGTGAGAGCACTTGGGTAACAAGCTGGGACTGACTGGCATAGTTCCCCAGATTTACTGTACTACAGAGAAGTATTCCACGTTCTGGAGCACTCATTGGAGACAATGACGCTCTGAATTGGCCACAAGGAAACTAGGAAGACTGAAATATGCCATGAGGAAGGACCAAAGGTGAGAAGCCGGGGGTGAGATGGAAGGATCATTATGGGATGTCTTTCATGTAGGGAAGTACCCCAGGCCAGAGGGGACCCCTTGTCATAAACTAGGCCGGTGCTTTCCTTTTTGTGGTAGTTTCCATGAAGAAGTGGACATAATTTGCACTGTCACTGCAGAGAAGTCAGTGCAAATTTACTGCATTGCCAGAGTCTACTTGAATTTGCCAACATAATTGCTGTAGTTTCAGGAGATGAGACTTTGATTCAATAAACATTCAAAGCAGGCGAGTAAATTGCTTCAACTAATATTATCAGAGTTCCTCTCTGAGGAGAAGGTCAGAGGAGTTAAGCTCGAGTGACAGATAGAGGCAAGCCACTAATTCCAGCTAAAATTCCAAGACCTGGGAATTACATGGACTGGAGCAATTAATATCATTCTCAAAACCATACAAATACATATCATACAGGCACTTCCAAGGAGCAGGATGAATCTAGTTGCTTTGGCTTTGTCATGGGGTTTATTTCCTTTTAATCTAAGAATCATATTGACTCCTGGTCACCAAAGCATGACCAAAAGTATTTGGACTTGAGTAGGGGACTAAGTGGAAACAATTGTTAAGGGACTGTGGAAGAATGGTGATCTACAATGGCATACTACAATTCTAATTTGTTTGCTCAGATAACATTGGATATCTATGTGCTCATATAACATTAGATAGAGCTGAGACCAGAAATACACACTGTAACTAATGGCAGAATGAAATAGTCAAACGTCTAGTTCTTATGTCTGAGCACAAAAATCATCTAAGAGATTTTTTTTTCCTCATGAAGTATTGAAAGTCATTTGCTA